TTTTTTTTCACATTTTGTCTCTCATAGTTGAGGTCTACCTATGATGTCAATTACAGGCCTCTCTCATCTTTTTAAGAGGGAGAACTTGCACAATTGGTGACTGACTAAATACTTATTTTCCCCACTGTATCAAAACTCAACTGAACGTGGAAATGTGTGCAGCCCTACGCCAACTCCAGGGCTGGCGTACGCACGTTTCTGTGGTTTTGGTTCCATTGGCGACACTTAGAGGTGATTCTGAGAAACTGTTCATAATGTGAAAATGATTATTGTTCACAGCAGACACACATGATTAACAATTATTACATCCACATGGACGCAGTTAAATAAAGGACGCGCAAACTTGAGCCAAAAATACATTTAACAGGAATGGATTCAGCCTTACTGGAGAATATAATAAATAGTGTAACACGCGGAGCTTTTATTTATAAACAGATAGAAATTTCTGATGACGAGTGGCTCATCGGCCGTTTTGAGGAAAATCATTTTTTAGTTTGGCACTGCTGTGCACTGGGAGCGCGACGCAGCGAGTAGCCGCATGCACGTGCAGCAGCAGCTGCAAAACTGAGGTTCCACAGGAGCTTTCCAGAGGGAGCTGGCAGACCGATTGGGACTCAGTCCAGTCCACCCAAAGCAGAGTCATGACCAATGGAATCGTCTCATCCATATCTAAAGGCTGAGTTATGGTCGCGCTCTGGATCACACGCACTCTCGCCGGCAGTGGAGATGTTTCATACTTGGCGTTTACGTTGTTATAGATTTCTCCAAAATGACATGTGGAAGTACACTTTATAACTTGTGAAAATGCTGTAAGTAGGAGAGCAAAAGCTTGACAAACAGAATGTGCACAAAGGCTGCGGTGCGCGCAGCGTTTGTGGGGACTCTCCAACATCATGTCACGTCATGTGAACTTGTTTCTTAATAGCAGCTATGAAATAAACTAAGATCTATGTTCTACCAAACATTTATGTTCCTCTGAATTTACAGTAATTATGGTAATAAACTTGTGCGCAAAGTTAATATTTTCAGACTCAGAATGGATAGATGCCGGTTGTGCAACACAGCAGCGTGCACACAATCACTCGTTCTTTGCGTGATAAACATATTTTATTCCTATTTTTACTTATGATATTTTTTCACACTCACATTATATTAAATTCATTATTTTTATGACATTAGAAATCATTTCTGATCGCGCAGGGATCCTTCAAACGTGTCCTTCACACATGCAGGAAGTAATTTGCATCTGTTTAACATATGTTCATGAAGGCATCAGGGGATGTGTCTTACATGTGCTCAGTTCCACGTTAATTGTGATGTACAAAAGCAATGTGCGTGGATTTCGGCGTACGCACAGTTTGATATATCTGGATTTTTTTGTGCGTTTTCTGGATTTGACCGTACGTCAGGTTTCAGTAAGAAAACCACGCAAGTCTTTGTACATGAGGCCCCTGTTCAATTGAAGGGATGAGAAAACTGTTGTGGGAGAATTGTAATAATTGAAAAGTTTCTAAAATATAAGTTTCTTATAATTTATTAACATAATAAAGGAATTGGGGCACCACCTGTCAAATTTAACAGGAAATTAATCTCATAATTTTACTCAATCTCATGTACTGAAGGACGGAGCGCTTTTCAGTTTTTGACGGTAAAACACGAATAAAAGATGCACAGACAAAGCATAAATTTCACAATATACCCTATATTGTGGATTCAGAGAGAAAAATTACATCACAAGTCGTGTATGGTAAGTAAAGACGTTTGCTATCACAACTGCTATGAATTTAAAATAACAAATGACATCACTTCAGCCAACCACTTCTTGTAATTTTACGCTACAGAATCATAACTCACTATTATCTATTCTAACAAAAGGGGTGAAAACTTCCCAGATTAATAAAAGAAAACGTTAATTCATTTATCAAGAGGGGACGTGAATTATAAGGGGAATCAACTTGCCAGCTCTTCTTTCAATCCAATCATAGCTACCCAGAACACTCTCTTTCATCACTACAGCTGAGCACCACCACCAAAGCATAGAAAGCTGTTCTTTCCTACCAATTCGATGCGAGCCAGTCAGTTCTGTCCCAGGGTACCAGGAGGTTCGAGTGATGATGAATCACCGGTGCCGCTCGGTCTCAAAGGGGGTCCCGTGTGGGTACAGCATGGACGCACCGAGACTGCCTGGGGTCGGCTTCAAGTTGGAGATGAGGAGGTCGGTTCGGGTCCTGTGTGGATTGAACTGAAGTTCTGGTCAGTTCAGTTTCCTGAACAAATCTTGTCCCTACACTACAAAAAGTAAAATAAAAAAATAAAAACTAAAGTTAAATGTCCCCGAAGGGAATGAAGAACCTGAAACTCCTGTCCTTTCTCTCTTGCTGCTTTTTTCAACTCTAACTTATAAAAAAATGTTGTCTCTTTTCCTGACTTTACAAACTTCTGATTGGCTGAGATAGTCACATGGTTTGTCTTTTGCTTCACTGCCATCATGGTTCATGCTGCTAAAATGATTAAACAACACAGATTGATGGGGTTACTTGTACAGTGATTAAATCAAGATATTATCACAGTGATTGAGTCATGATAGAAAAATACAATGTTTCTTTTTCTTCTCTCTTTTTTATCAGATGAACAAACAACATAAATTTACCCAGAAAAACATTTGTTCATGATGTGATTATGAGACCAGCCTTTTAGGGGCGCTCTAAGACCATAAATGAGATTGTGTGTTAGACATGTCTTTGAAGATTGTCTGTGGGCATTATCTCAGCAGGGAACATAGTCTGCTAGGGTCTAGTTGTGGATTGTAAACCCACTTCTGGAGACTTTCAGTCTGGCAAATGGTGGGTCCTTTGTGATAAACGGCCATTTTGAGCACTTGAAAGGGATCTCACAACAGGGCAATCAATTGAAGATTGCAAGTCCTGTTTATCTTAGCACTTGTAGATTGTGAAGAAAAAGGGGTTGAGGGCAGTGGAGGAAGCCATTGTTCTCTGTAGATATGGGAGGATGAGGAAGTATTGATTCAAGTTCTGGTGTGGAACTGTTCCTTACATTTCTGCTACAAATCCCCCCTTTGCAAATCACAACCTTGTCCATGGTCGTGAATTGCACACCTCAGCATAACGTGAAGAACCAGTTACACAGTCAGGGTGGTAGATCTTGATGTATTTCCATAGCGTTTTTCCAGGAAAGGTTCAAAAGGTAATCCAAGGATGATATATCCAAACAGAAACGGGAAATATATCCAAACAGGAACCACGAAGGTCAGGGACATCCAGATGGGGAGGTAGATCGTTTCTCTCATTAGGTGGTGAGGTAGATCTCTGAAGAATGAAGTTGAGAGGGTCCATCTCTGGTCGGACGAGGTTGCTCTCGGATGTGTGGAGTCAAGAAGGTCCATCTCTGGTCAGGTGAGGTAGCTTTCAGGGTTGAGGTAGGTTTGCTCTCTTATCTGGTGGTGTGCTCTCTAGATACGCTAAGTTATCAGGGGACCTACAGGGGTACTGATCTTAGTTAGGCTACAACTACTGTATGTAGGTTCACTATGGAAGTAACTTCAAAAAAAAACTTTTAATAAAATTGTTGACGACGTGTCGTCACTAATCTATGAATAAATGTAGAACATAAACTTATCAACGTGCTTCTGACACGTTCTACAGGATGGGACTCTAATTGTCATGGGGAAAACAAATGATGTAGTTTATGACATAACTAAAGGATGGGACTCTATTTGTTGTGGGAGACTAACAAATTCAAATTCAAGTGAGGTCAATGGCAAAATAAGCTAGTGACTTATTTTGAGGTGGGAACTCTAAGGATCTATGCTGAGTTCTACCGCTTCAGGGGGAAGTTTATATTTTTACCTATGAATCCACATCTTCATCCAGATCAAAGATGATAGGCCTCTGGATGGGTCTGCTATCTCTACTTTTAGCAAGACGATGGAAACGAGCGGTGAATTGGTCAAACTGCGCTTGCATGGACCGCTTGTGACGAAGATAGACGATTGTCACTACGGCGATAATCAGATATTCTAATTTTACAAGTGACAACATTAGGGTATCTATCCAGGACCAAGCGTAGGCAATAGGAGGAGTCGGCTTTTTGCTGTTAGACTCTAGGGCTTTTAGAAATTGTTTAATAGGTTCTACGTCGATGGTTTGAGAACCTTCGAACTGTATTTTCTGGAGAATTTGAGTCTCAAGTTGGAGTGTCATATTTTGGAAGTAGTCAGGAAATTCAAATTCAGCTTCATATTCATCTGGATTTAAATAATACAAGGCCACATCATCGATGTGGATGATTGCCCCCACAGGAATGGTGATCCACATAGTGGTGACAGGTAGATCAATAAGGCTTGAAGTGTCATGCAAGTCGTAGTTCATGATAGCGGTTTTAGCCGGGGTGTTAACGAGCCAGCAAGAGCCAACTACTTCGGCTTGTGTGTCAGTGACTTGGCGTCGAGGAGTTATAGTCATCGCGCATTTGGAATCTTTGTTTGCTGGTCTAAGGCCACAGATTCCAACGGTGTTATCGCGCACAAAAGGTTTGCTCGGACAGAGATAATGGATGTCATGGGTGAAGGTACACATACAGAGGTTAGGTGCTAAGTACAAATCTGGATTATCGTCATGATAAGCGACGACGGAGGGAGTGTTGATTTTGATATGGTTTTCACCATTCCAGTGTCCGATGTTTACGTCATCTTTCATACGGTAAACGTTTTCAGAGCGTATTACAGGGAGATTGATTAAGAAAGACATTTCACGTGCAGCGGGGTCGACGTGGAGAGGGACGGCGCTACTGAGAACATGAGCTAAGTGGGCCTGTAAGGGAGTTACTCTGTCGGCGGTGGTTGTTAGCAGGATATCTTGGACCATTTGTAATGATACAATGTAGGGAGGAATCTTACCGATTACTAAGGTGTCGACCAATGAACTGATCTCTCTCAGCAAATCAGTAAAAAGCATGGTTATCAACTGAGTGTGTGTGTAGTCTACTTGTATCACGGAGGTTAATTCAGTGACAGCTTTAGCTAATTTAGTCAACTCTGTGCTGTGGGTGTTAACAACAAGAACGGTATCTAGGACAGTTTTCCCAACTTGGGTAAGATGATTTTGTTGCTCATCCAGTTGTTGTTGAATCACAGGGATCTCGTTTTGGAGCTCAGCTACATGTCTTTTAATAGCAGCGATGTTAACGGCATTAACCGAGGAAATGCCTAAGCTGAACAATGAGCCAATGGCAGAGGCAGCAGTGAGGATTCCACCTATAAATCTCTTCTCTCTCCTGCCAGTACCACTTAGCTCTGATCTAGAGATGGTGAATTTCTGCAGCTGTTCCAGCATGTGTGTTATGTCTGCTTTAGCATGTTGGATAGCTTGGTGGTTCCAACTGTTACCAGCCCAGGATGCAAGCTTGATGGACGTGCTAGCATGTTGATGGCACAGGTTAAGTGGGTTGAAGCGGACGTACACCTTTTGGGCGTATAACCGGCAGTTGGTGATTAGTAGTCCAGGTTGTTCTCTTAATACAACTCCGGGGTCCTGGTTCGACCATGTCTGGTAGGGCGTTACCCATGAGTCCCAGAAGAAAGAAAGTCGTCAGTAGTGTCGTCATTTTCTAGAGAAAAACACAGAGGGTGACATTAGCTGTGTTTATTGCTCTTAGATTCAAATAGGATGACGAGGGGAGTTTTAGGGATAGTTCACCCTCATCAATTAGTAGTAGAGTGATTGATTAGTAGGACGTTGATTCACTCTAGTGGTCAAGCAAAAGTCGTCTGAATTAGCAGACTTGAAAAGTTCATTATAGCCTTACAGATTTTATAAGTTGGCTAGTTTGAAAGTAGGCCTTGGAGCATTAGTTGTTTATGCTAAGTTTACATTTATAGGGTTTCCTATTTCAGTCCTTTGAGATTTCTGGTTCTTTGACATTTTTGGTGAAGGCTCTATGTGGTTTGATTTGATTTCTGTGGACCCACTTAATGACAGATTCTTGTTGACCTTTACTGATTTTGATCTGGTACACGACTGGTGACAGCTTGTCTGTGATCAGGTGGGGTCCAGTCATTTTGGTTGTAGTTTGCGAGCACGTGTCCCAGTCTGAGCTGCGAACGTGTAGTACCACACCTTTTCACCTATTTGAAGTTCGTTGTAAGAAGCTTTCTGATCATAATAGGTTTTTCGTCCTTGAGCTGTGTGGTCAAGTTGTTGTCGTGCGAAAGTGAAAGTGTTTCTCAAGTGATTGTGCAAGTCTTCCATGTACTGGTGTGTCGTGTAAGCTGTGGCTACAGTCACTTCACCTGGCTTGTACAGTAGATGTAGAGGAAGAACCATCTGTCATCCCGTCATCATTTTCAAAAGGAGAGACACCGGTGGAACGATGTGGGGTCGCTCGGATGGCCATAAGGACTAGGGGTAGTTTAATGTCCCAGTCTTTGTGATTGGTAGACACGTACTTCTTTAGTACGCTGACCACCATTCTGTTGGCTCTTTCAACTTGGCCTGATGACTGAGGATGGCAACTGATGTGGAAGTTTGCTTTGACACCTAGCGTCTGCCACATCTCTTTCATCACTTCAGCAGTGAAGTGTGTTCCCCTATCCAAGTTGATTCTGATGGGGAGTCCAAACCTGGAGAACACATGGTTCATGGGCAGGTAGGCAGTGGTTTGAGCGGTGTCATTAGCAGCTGGYAGGCATTCAATCCATTTGGTGAATGCACAGGTCATGGTGAGGAAATATTTATTTCCTCTAGTTGATTTTGTGAGTGGTCCTACCCAGTTGATTTGCAGGTCAGACCAAGGGAAAGTGATTCCTCTAGTTTGTAGAGGTGCTCTGTGGATAGGTTTGACAGGTTGGAACTGGCAACAAACCAAACATCCTTTGATGTAGTCAGCCACATCTTTTTGCATTTTGGGCCAATAAGCAACTTGCTTTAGGGCTTTTGTCATTGCTTCGACTCCTTGGTGTCCTGATGTAGGAAGTTCATGGGCATGTACTAGCATCACCCGCTTTGTTCTAGAGGAACCACGAGGGTCATGGAGGAGGATCCTTTGGGAACAAACATTAGGATGCCC